ACTTTACTTAAAAAATATCTAATAGGTCTGATTATTTCCAGATAGATTTATTGCAAAGCAGGCCCAAAGGGACAAAGTTGGGTTATAGCGAACTAATCTAGATACTCCCATATAAGTCATAGATATCCTTAATTTCAGAAGTATTCTCATTAATTGGCTTGGGTGTGAAAGTTTGAGTTTTGGGTTCAGGCTCTAGATTTGAGTCAAGATCAGAATCGGAAGTATCACCTTCGGCATAATACATTCCAGAATCATGACGATCCATCTTATGCCTCATTGCAATCCTGCTGAGGAAAGCAAGATGTTGTGAAGTTGAATTTTGAGCACCATGAACTCTAGAAGCATGTTTACCTCTGATTTTTCTTAATCTTTTAGCTGTAATACCATATGGCTTTAAAAATTTACTAAATACATCTGTACTACGTTTTCCATTAATACTATAGACAGGATTGCGCAACTTTTCAATCGCTATTGCATTTTGAATCCAGGTAAGCAATTCTCTTGCATGTTCTGGATTCTTTTTCATGGATAGAAACGGTCTAGGTTCAGAATTGTTTTTTGCTTCTCCTTTATTTTTAATATACCCAGTACAATACCAAGAGTAATCAGGATTATACCATTCCGAAGGATTTGATTCATCAGGCTCATAATAGATAATGTGGAGAGTAGTTGCTTCGGCAGGTCTCATGCTCTACATCTTATTACATCTGCGAGATCTTGTAGAGTGGGGGTCTCAGTAGTACGAATATTTTGAAGTCTTCTAAGCCCCTCTTCTAAGGAGAAGTGTTTAGGCGTTTTAGGTCAACTGATTAATCTCTGTTCAAGTTTTTTCTTCTGAATTTTGTTAGAAGCTTGAGTAATATTTGGTAATTTGGCATATATATTGATTTGCTCAGGATCAACTCCAGCTTCTGCTAACTCTTTACGAAATTGTGAAAGACAGGAACTGGATGCTACAATCTTCTTATCAGCATCATTTTTTATTTCAGCTAAGTCTAAAGCATGTAAGTAAATATCCCACACATCTCCAGTTTTTGCACAATATTGAGCTCTTTCCTTGATAGTAAGCCTTTTCTTTTTGTTGTTCAGAACCAGAGCTTCTATTTGATTGTTTTTGAATAGGCGCCGGTGAAGAGCTTTTTTCACATCTTTACGAGCTTTCCAATCTGGTAGCATAGTACCAAGCTCATCAGCATGAATACGTAATTGAAGTGGGTTTGATTCGGCTGATAGGTTATATTTATTCAGGAACTGATCTAAAATAGAGGTGAAGTTATTGGTTTTGGGTTTTCGGGTTTTTCGAGCAGTTGTCATAGCTGTATTGATAATATATTAGATAAGTAGATTGTAATTATACATCAACCTACTTATTTTTTCAAATCAAAAATTAATTATCTTGAGTCAATGTCTCTATATTTAAAATTGAATAGGTTGTGGTTATTGCAATTCTATCAAAAAATAAACGCGAACAAGACATGAGTTCGATCAAAAGTCTTGGAATCTATAGCCTCTTTTTTTCTCTTTGTTTCTCGAATAAAAGATATATATGTTAACAGTACAATATATGCTATCTACATTTTTCTGGCTTCGAGCAGTTACTGCGAGAAGGCGGGATAACCAAAAATATAGAAAGGATCAAAGAAGATATAGCATTACTTAGAGAGGTTCTGGAAAAAATAATCGATATACACGTATGTCAGGTATATGATTATACTTTGTGCATAGAATCAAATAAGTTAGGAAAATCTCCAAACATATCAATTTGTGCACGTAATTCATCCGCTTTTTTCTGCGATAATTCTCTCTACTTTTATATTTGCCTACATGATCATCGCATGCATTATATTTAGACCTATTTAGCATACCACAATCTCTACAAGGAGTATATACTGGAGATTTACGATGATTATAACATCTTTCTGATTTACTACCTCGACCACAGATTTTTCCAGTTCTATTAATATATGAGCAATGGTATAATATCATCATAATTATATATAATAATTAATTTTATTTTAAAGATTTATCTATCAATTAATATAGTTTCAAAATAATACTACATATACTTTTTGTCAGATCAAACAACGCATATATACAAACAATGTACATATAAAATGGGTTTATCTAGCGAAGCAAAAAAACATCTTCGTGAATTATTACAACAACAGCGCTTAAATCAAAAGTAAGCCGAATATAATGAAGCAAAACAGCTTTTTATGGGTTTAACAGATCTTGATTATAAACCCGGCCATAAAGAACATACATTTTATAAATACTGGCTTGCATCCAGGCCTGAAGAGGTGACCCTAAAGGGTCATGGCCATACCGATAAAAATAATACTGCACTTTTAGACACATATCTACCTGAGGAGATTCATTCTCAATATATAATTCAGATGGCAGGAAAAGGTTATACAGTGATCGATCATCCTAGCAAAGTTTATAGAATACCTGATACTCACGAATGTATTGATGGGAACCAGCCCCTCCGCTTAATTATCGATATTGATGCAAGGCAAAAGCATGATCCTACAAATCCTAAAGTGCCTTCTTTAGATGGTGAAAAAATTACCCAAAAAGATTTGATATCTTGAATTTTAGTTGCTTGTGCAGATGCATTAAGCCTTATTCCTAATTGTATGCTTTTCTTAAATTCTTTTGCCTTAGCTAGTTCATCAAATGCTGAGAAATGCAGTTGGCATATTATTTATCCTCGTGCTTAATTCATAGATTATAAAGAACTTAAGGGATTCACAGAAAAGGTTATGGAATTAGTTGGGGAACCTTATTCAAAATTTATTGATATCAGCCTTTCTAAAACATATTTTAATCTTCGGCTTCTAGGATCAGCAAAGGAAGGTCATATAAAAAGACCTGTCATTTCTTCTGTTAAAAACAGATTTAAAAATTTAGATGATTATCTGATTCAGCCTAAAGAGAATTATTCTGTGATCTGGCCACGAACCTTTTCTTCTGAGGAGCCAGTAAAAGAATCCCAACCTATCAATGATGACAATGCCTTGGTTAAAGGGGCTAATATAGTCATTGAAAAATATGGGTGGCTCCAGATTGGAAGGATTGAGAAGGGATTCATCAATTTTCAAGCACAATCAGTTAAAGAATGTCCTATATGTGATGTTAAACATGATAAGAATCAACTCTATGGATTTATTCGAAAAAATGGGCATTTTATACTCAAGTGCTATCGGCAAAAACAGTACAAACCGGATCACAAGGGTCTTAGCTTCGATAAGGTATCAGACAAAGTTGAGTTGAAAGAGAAACTTAAATTGGGATTAAGTAAAAGAATCACCAATGCTGTATTAAATCCACGTTCACTTCCTGAATTACATGAAGAAGTCATTAATATTAAAAAGTTAAAAGATACTCCTGAGTCATATCCCGATTTCTTAAGTACTGAAAAAACAGCAACTCTTATTTGTTCATCCCCAGCAACATGGAAAACTACCACCCTAAGAGAAATTATTATGGCTTCAAAATCTAAGGTAAATAATACTTCCTCATTACTGTGTTATATCTGGATCTCTTATCGAAAATCTCTTAGTAATGAATCAAAAACAAAACTTGATGAGTTAAGAGCATCAGGATTCCAAATCTGCAATTATCAGAATGTGCAAGGAGACTTATCTATAAACGAGTGGGACATTATTATAGTACAAGTCGAGAGTCTTTTCCGCATTAAATTTACAACCCAACTATTTGTAGCTATTCTGGATGAGATTAATGCGATTATGCGACAAATGAATAGTGGCACAAATGCACGAGAATCTGAGAATGCAATGCGTGATGTATTAAGATCGGCTCAGCATATTTTAGCAATGGATGTATTTGCAAACGAAAGTACACTAACCTTCCTTAAGGCTTATTGTGATGAAAATGTCCGAGTAGTCGATAATAAGTATCAGCCTCGTATAGGTGAAACAGTTGAAATTATCTATGATCCAAATAGTGGGGCCGAAGCTATGCGAATAGGATATGGATTTTTGAAGCAGGGAAAACGTGTAGCTTTTGTATCAACTGGGGCAGTAATGGCTAGAGCATTAGTAGAAAGAGTATCTAAATTAACAAAACCAGATAACTCACCTATCAAAGCCCGTGCTTATTATGGAGATATGGATGGAAAACAACGTCAAGAGGATTTTTCTAATATCAATACTGCTTGAGATGAACTTGACTGTATAGCTTATACAAATACAGTAGAAGCAGGTATATCTTTTGAGGTTACAGAACATTTTGATATAGTTATAGCTATCACGAATATCGCAACTCCAGTTCACGTTGAAGCACTTGCCCAAATGCTTTATCG